ACATATTTGAACATAATTGTAAGTTATATTTCTAGAAGTCAAATTGCTCTTTCAAGGGTGTATGAATTCTAAATTTGATAGATATGGCCAAATTGCTTTCCAAATACTTTGTACAATTTACACTTCTACAAAGAGTGTATGTGTGAGAGTGTCTTTTCCCCTGCACCCTTATCACAAAAGGTATTATCAACTTTTTGGCCTTTATCGATGATAGGTTAAAAATGGTATCTTGTTGTTTTGCTGTGCATTTACCTAATTTTGAATGTGTTACTTATCTTTTCCTATATTTAATAGATTAAGGATAAGGAAATCTGTTTCCTAATTTATAGATTAAGAAAAGTTTCTCTTAGTTTATCGAATGTATGCAACTATTTGAGGCAAGATATTAACACTCAGATTGCTTTAACCTGTAAATTTCTTATCCCCCCCTTTATTCTTGGCACTGGAAAGATATAAAGTGAATATTTCCCCCACCTCCAATAAGGTTGCCTTTGTGGAAAGAGGACTTCATTTTCCCATTGTTTTTAGCGTGACGTCCTATTGTAACAACAGATCAAGAGGGAAAGAGGGTTTTTCAGAAAACCTTAAATGGTTGTGGGCATTGAGAGAGGTAGGGAGGAGGCAGGATGAGGTGCATGTGGTGGGCACAGGAGCTGAGAGCTGATCCCCAGAAGTTGCTTAAGAAGGGAGGGGACCTGCTGCCTGGGAAGGGAAGAGTCAAGTTGAGCTTGGCAGGTACCACATTAGGGGATAATGTGTGGATGCTCAGAAGCTGTCTGAGCTCTGTGTCAGTGCCTGCAGATCTGATACCCTGTATCTGCTCCACTAAGTGCGCCATGATTCTTGGGGCATCTGATTCACTGTGTCATATCCTACACTTGGAACACTGACTGTCAATTAGGGGTGATGGTGATGATGCTAGTGCTGGCACCAAGGTTTCGCTTGGTCCCCAGCTGGTTATATTTCCCTTGTAACACCTGTAAGCTCAAGACAAAGGGGTGGAGTAGGGTTCTAAATGCCAATCACATAGGTGAGCCCTGCCCCCTGCCCACATATGAGTGGGGGGAGGGTTGAACCAAAGCAGCTCAGGACCCCGTACTGGGAGAGCGATTACTGTCCCCCACTACAGATTTTTCCCATTTGACTTATGTTTGTTTAGAGTATTTTTGGGTGTGTGTGTTCATACATTCAAGATGTTTATATTGTAAAATTTATCAGTTTTTTCTTTTATGGCTTTTCTTTTATGGATTTATGGTCAAAACTTTGATCAACCTTGAACTTATTCTAAGAGATCCAGCTTTTTCTTCCCAGGTGGTTGACCAATTACCAATCATTATTAAACAATCCGGCTTCTCACTGACCTGAAACACCCACCGTTATCACACATTTTTATCTATGTTTATATTACTCTGTTCCAGTGATTTTTTTTTAAATACAAGTACCCAGTGGTTTTAATTATTTTATATTACATATAGTAATTGTCTGGCAAGGCCACACCTTCCTCACTATCCCTCTTTTTCTAATTTTCCCATAATCCCTACTTTCTTTTCCACATGAACTTGAGAGTTTGCTTGTCTATTTCCCCTCAATCCTGATGGTACTTTTCATTGGAATTATATTACGTTTGTTAGTCATTTTAGAGCAACTTGACATCTTAAACTAATGTGTCTTCTGTGAACATGTGTATAGCCTGATTGAGGTCTTATTCTGCATCCTACAGTAGCACCCCCAAATTTCCTTCAATAGCTCTTGTACATTTCTTGTTAATTTTATTCCTACATATTTAATCATTTTTACTAAAAATGTAAAATATTTTCTTCCATTATACTTTCAAAATAGTTGTCAAATGTGTATAGAAAAGCAATGCCTTTGGTATATAAAAATTTTAACCAGCCACCTTACCATATTCTCCTCTTGTCTAACACCTTTTCAGATGATCTTGAGATTTCTAGCTGCATAACTATTTCATCTGAACAAAATAATAATTTTATCTTTGCTTTCCCAATATTTTTAATTCTCTAGATGTATTATCTAGCACTGTTAGAATAAGGTGAACAAGAGAGGAGGTACTGAGCATACTTTCTGGACTTTATTTGGGGGTACAATTATTAAATTGGAGTTGAAATACACGGTTTGATATACTTTTCTCCAATATGTTTTTATTATTATTTAAACTGTGATCCAATCACTATCTAAATTTTGGAGTATTTCAATGTAGGAAATCTCTTTTAAAAACTACTTTATCGGCCTACCTGCTTATTACCTCTTGGAAGTTTAATTTCTTCAATATCCTATTAGAGGCCATTACATTTACTACACCAAGAATGAAACTTGCGTGTTTAACAAACTAGAATGACTTTTGTCCTATCAATAATGCTCAGACTACAAATCATCAAGGCAAAGCAACACACACAAAGAGATTATTAAAGACTCTTTTTGAACGCAATTTTTGGGGGCTGCACACTATTTCATCAAACAAGTGTAACCTACATTATTGCTCAAGCTGATCTTTTTTTTTTTTTTTTTTTTTTTTTTTTTTTTTTTCCGTGTCCAGCAACGGATCGCAACCCTCAGTGTCGCCCCCGTACCGGACCGGGACCGGCAACGGGATCGCAACCCTCGGTGCTGCTCCCGCGCCTCGCTCAGCCAGTGAGCGGGAACCGGTCTGCATGTGGGACCCAAACCCTCAGCGGGAGCGCCGCCGCGCTTCCCAAGCGGCGCACTGTAGCAGTGCGCCACCGGGCCGGCCCTCAAGCTGATCTTTAATGCCACATCCCATCTTCTCTTGTCACTCTTGGTCTGTCTGCATCTCTTCAAATTCATTTTTCTTTATTATTGTCCTTATTCATATCTTTCAACCCATGCTACTCCAGTGACTAACACATTCTGAAGAATATATTTTAACTATTTTTTCATATATCACAACTGTCAACCTGAAAAGCTGGTGAATGTCTCTACTCTTTTTAAACATCCAAATGAGTCACTCTTTGTTAATATGGAATTCAAGTGATGTTCATTTATTATGGACCAATGGACCTAGATTTAAATGTGAAAATATAATTCATTTTTATTGTTACATTACTTCTTTGAAACTAGATGAAGTTCTTAGTTTATGCTAGTGCAGACCCAAGGAAGGGATTCAGGGTGGAGGACAGTTCCCCTTCCTGATGCAGCCTCTTCATTCTTGCTCTTTTCACAATGTCGTGCACTGCCCTCTTCCCATAATCTTAATCTACTAAACAAGCAGTTATTGTGTGAGCAGTCCACTCCCGGAGTGTGATGCTCAGGACCAGGCATGAAAAATAAGCAGAGACTGTGATAATAGAGTGTGCCCAGAAGAGAGTCACCATAAGGATGAGAGAATTGGAAACCAAGTCACATATATATTACATTATATAATGTGCAGTGAGTGCCTACTATGTGCCAGGCACTGTTCCTAGGTATCTTGTTATCTCAATTAATCCTCATAGCACTCCAGTGAGAACAGTTCTATTTTTACACTCATTTTACAGATGAGGAAATTAAGACAGAAAAGTTGAGTACTTTCTAATGTCACACAAATAGTAATTGGCAAAGCACATCTTAAAGGCCTATGCCTTTTGATGAGTTGATGAATATATTAACCACCCTGATCATTATACAACATATATATATGTATGAATGAAAACATGAGATTGTACTCCTTTGATATGTACAATTACAAGGTGTCGATTAAAATAAATAAGTATATTAAAAAGCCTATGCTTTCTGGTTGTAAAAAATGAGGAGGAGTGAGTATAGGAAAGCTGTAACAGCTCTCTTTAAAATTTTGGAGAAACCAGGGCTAGCCGGTTAGCTCAGTTGGTTGGAGCACAGCCTTATAACACCAAAGTAAAGGGTTGGGATCCCCATATTGGCCAGCTGCCTAATTAAATAAAACCAAGGAGGAAAAAGCTGAGCAGATCATGGCCTGGAAAATAAAGGTAGCTAACATTATATTAAAGAAATTTTATAAAGAAACCGTAAATTTGTTCTATGGGTACTCAAAGTATAATATTTGGACCAGCAGGTAGAAGTTGTTGATAAGTAGATTTCTGGTCAATACAGGGAATAACTTTCCAAGAATGAGATGTATCTTAAAAAGGAATAATCGATCTTGAGAGGTAGTGAGTTACTACTGGCAGGGTCCAGACAGAAACTGGATGTCCCCGGTTGGAGATGCTGGCAAAGATATTCAGGCACTTAATCAGTGGTTTGGATTAGTCAGTCACCCTCAAAGACCCCAAAGCTCTTGAGTTGATGGTAAATGATTCACCCTAATTTCTGGTGGCATATTATGGATAAAGTGGCAACATGGAATGAATTCGAGGTTGTCAACATTACAGAAACATCCACGTCAAGATTGAAGAGTTGATTCATATTAAGGAACATTGATAAAAGTACTTTAAACTCAGCAACAGAACAATTTGGATAGACTCTGATGAAAGCAGCAGCTGTGCGCATGACAGAGGCAGTGCAATATGGTGGTTGAGAACACGGAATCCAGAGCCAGACCATGTGGTTAGTTTAAACCCCAATATACTAATCCCACATGTACTAATTGTGTGACCTCGGGCAATTGACTTAGCCTAGTGAGACCTCAGTTTCCTCCTCTGTAAACTAGTGTGTTAAAAACACTATCTCATTAATCCCTGTGAATAAACACACACACACACACACACACACACACACACACACACACACACGGGTCTTCAAAAAGTTCATGGAAAAATTCCCATTATCTTTTAATTTCATTTTCCATGAACTTTTTGAAGTATCCTCATGTGTGTGTGCACACTCGTGCATGCGCGTGTGTGTGTGTATGTGACAGAGAGAGAGGGAGGGAGGGAGGGAGGGAGGGAGGGAGAGAGAGAGAGAGAGAGAGAGAAGAGAAACTAGAACAAAGCCTGGGACATAATAAGTAGTAAATACTTGTCCTTATTCCTAAGAATATCCATGAATTTTAAATATTCAAACACTACAAAAGGTAAATTATTTTTAATTTTGCCAATTGTCATGAATTCATACATTGTTGTGAAAAAAAAAGAGAAACAGGCACACAGCAAGTAACACAAACATAAGTCAAGAAAATATTGGACCAAGATAGATTTGAACTCTGACTTTTAAAAAGGTATTATTAAACTGTTTATCCATTTTTACTTATTTTAAATAATCGACAATAAGTATTTCAGTGATTATCTATTATTATGTCTAGCACAATGCTAAATAAGCACAAATATAATAAGAAGCTTATGACATGGTCCTCGTCCTTAAATAGTTTATAATCTAGCTATTTGTGATTATATAGACACATTTAAAAAAAATTCTAGGACCTATTACCTTTAAGTAAAAATCATCTTTGAAAGTCATCACTTTGAAAGGTTATACATGTATTTCAATAATCCTGCCATTGCGCAAAACAGTTTTTGCATCTTTCCTTTTGGGATTCTCTTTGCAGTGATTATATAAATCCTTTAAGAAACGCAGACCCATTGCTTGACTTTAGAGTGCTGCTCCATCTTCCTCGAGCACCTAGCTAGTCACCTGAAGTATTCACTAGGTTTGGTTCTCAATGACTTCTGCTTATTTTAAAATGTCAGATTTACCCTAAAAGACAAGTTTGGCTGTTTTCGATGATCTTGAAAAGAATGCACTGCAGAATTACAGGCCTTTCTCACTCCTCTTAAACTCTGCTGCACCACCCATCGCAGCGCTTAACCATGGCAGTGTTGACTGGAACTGAAGGGCCTGTGCACGTCGGGGTCATAGCTGCAGCTGGAGACGGCGGGGCAGGCTGAGGATAAGGGCGAGGAATGTTCCAGATGGGGCTGGAGGGCAACTTCTTTCTCTTCTATTACTTCAGTATTTTCTTTCACTACTCCTTAGACGTCTGGCTTTGATAGCGAAGGACAGAAAGGTCTGCCTGAAGCTGGCAGCAGATTCTCCCAATACTCCCTTCTAGCCCTGAGTTAAAAATATATATATAATTAATTAATTAAAAGCTTCGTGCCAGTTTTATAAGTCCGATATGTCATATATGTATGCATATATGTATGTAGGTGTGCATGTATGTGTGTGTGCATATACACACACATACATACTTAAAGCTTGGTGGATGATCAGGCTACTGTGGAACTTCTGTTTCAACATACAAAGGGAAAAACGATGTCCATACCCATTAATGCCAGTAGCCTTTCTCACATTTCTGTTCTTGGTAACAATCATTACGTTTCATACCACCTTTTAGAAAAAGACGTGTTTCAGTTTAACATGTTTTTAGGAATTACAGTCATTCCAAAATTTCTAGCAGAGTCCTTCTAACTCTACTCAGTATTTTAATGTAATGAGAAGTATATGAAGACAGTTTTTTTCTTTTTTCCTTTTTGTCTTTTTTACTGACCGGTAACGGGATCGCAACCCTCGGTGCTGCGCCTGCACCGCGCTCAGCCAGTGAGCAGGAACTGGTCTCCACATGGGATCCGAACCCTCTGCGGGAGCGCCACCGTGCTCCCAAGTGGTGCACTCTCCAGTGCGCCACTGGGCCGGCCCTGAAGACAGTTTTTAATGGAATAAGACAAAGTGTAATTCTTCAAAAAGTAACTAAGAACAGAATACAAATTACTTTGTCAGTATTTGTTCCTTGTTTTTAGACAAAGAAAGAAGAATACAGAGGTTCCTGGTCACAGACCTTTGTGTTAAATATATTTTTACAGCTTTTCCCACTTTACTTACAAAGTAATGAATAAATCAGTATTTTTGGATGATGAAATATCAGAAATCTGGGTTTATACAGGTTTCTATGTAATCACAAATTTCTGTGAACATCGGTGGGTTTGGGAATTCAGGGTACAAGGAGTGTTTTGCTTTGGTCTACAGAATAATATTTTGATTTTAATGGCTAATGAATTTTAAGGATTCCTAGAAGATGATAATTAAAATAAGCTATTTCTCATTTATTGAAACTATTTTAATTGTCACCAAGCTACACTTTCCTCACCTTTTAATTACATTTATATTTAGTACTTTTTTCTAAATATGATACCTGAATATGGTACTTTTTTCTAAATATGATACCTTCTCTGATAAATATCCATCCTCCCAGAAGAAAGGTTTGGCTAAGTGATTTATTTTCTGCATTTACAGTATAAATAAATTTACATTAGGAAAGTTATTCCAGTTCAAAATGAAGACTGTTTCAAATCCCACTGATATGAATAAAGAAGTACAAAATGGATTAAATACATAACAGCACCGAATACAAAGGAGAAGACAGCAGCAATTGTGACTGGTTTCTAGAAGACAGAAAGATGACGGCATTGGGGAGGGAGAGTCAGACATGCAGTGACCCAAAACAGAATAGTAATTCAGGGGGCCCCAAGAAAAATGTCTTCAATAATAAAGTGACTGAGTGTAACTTAGAAATTGGAAAATTTCAGAGAACGTGAAGGCCTGTTATTTTTCTTTCAATAATGAAAAAAGAAGTTAATTAGAGATTCCTAGAAAACCAAATGTTGTACAAATAAAGTCAATCCAAATATGAAGCAAATTGAAATATGGCATGAATTCGGACAAAAGATGAAATGTAAAAGAAGAGAATCTATTTGACCTTGAAGCTTGGAACATTCTCCTACAAATGGCTCAAGTTTTGTAAAATAGGATCATCTCTCTTTCTCCATGGTCCCATGCATACCACTTTGTTCTGCAGTGAATGTTTAGAAAACCACTCATGTAACAGGGTATTAGATTGGAAGCTTTATTGGAGACACCAAGATATGATAGATGTCAGGTATCGAAGGGAGTTGCAGGACAGACACTGCAGAAGTTTCAAAGTAGGTGGCCAAGAACCAGTGAGATGACATACCTGGCTCTACACTGGAAAATCTAGATCACAAGAGAACAACGGACCAGTTACTTTGCTTGTGAGCAAAGAGGATGCTGTTAAATTGAGATCAGACCACACTCTCAGGGTTTGTTTGTATAATGGAAGGGTGAAAGCCATTTTGAGCCTGATGAGAGCAAGAGAGCCAGCCTGGAGATATCTATAATCTGGCCCACTAGAATCACTAGGAAGGACAACAGGACCCCCAAAATAGGGAGTTGCCTGCTGGAGGAGTAGCCTGCTGGAAAAGCCAGGGTCTGAGGAGGAAGTAGCAGTGGGAGAAAGATGCCTGTGGCATGAAAAGTACAGACAAAAGTTAGCAGCGGAAGGCTCTGAAGAGCCATGAACGTGCTCATGAAGATCTGCCATGCTCAGCTAACGCAGGCTTCGTATGCGATGCCAGTCAAGTAACAACAGTATACTCCCTTTTCTATCTTCTCTCCTCGTATTTTGAGTCTGAAGAGGAAAGGGAGGGTTAGAAGCACAAGGCAGAGAAAGAAGGATGACACTGTCCTTTCCTGGTTTCTTGCCTGTTGAAGGCTTCTGCTGGACAAAGGGAGAAGTTTTAAGTTTGAAACATGTTCTGATTATTGATTTTATGTGGAACCGAACACTTTTGATTACTGAATCAACACTGTGTCTGCTAAGTAAAGTGATTATGGAACTTTCTGTTGCCTAAGAGTACCCAGAGAAGTCCTGGAGCATGTCAATGTTTTCAAACAGGGACAAAGGAAGGAATTCATCCATTGAGCAGGTTTAAAGGGATGGAGGTAGACAAAAATATAGTTGGGTTCTGATTATATTTCATGAATCCTGCTTGTTTAATATGATAATTATAATAATAATGTAATGTTATTCACTGGCTTTATATTTTTAGGATCAACCTGCAGACAAAGTTTGGCAGACTTAATTATGATTACAGAACAGAACATAATGGTTATAAACCTTGATGATGTAAAAGTAATGGTATAACTTAAAGATGCCAAGAGGTGGATGAGACAGTAAAAGTAGAGAGAAGCAGAAGGGAATCAATTCTTATTTTATAGAAAGTAGAGTTAAGAGATCCTGCCTTATACTGATGGATTAAGAAATAGGTGGTTAAATATATTTTTAACTTAAAAAGTGTATGAGTCTGTCTTTGTTGCTTATAACAAAATACATGGAATTGGGTAATTTATAAGCTTACAGTTTCTGAGGCTGGAAAGTCCAAAGTCCATCTAGAAGGGCGGTGACAGAAGGGTGGTGACAGTGACCCAGGGATCTCACATTGCAAGATGATGGAAGCAGAGAGAGCAGAGAGTGACAGACTCTTCATGCTCCCCTTTTAAAGCCTTCCAAACCACACCCATGACCACCATTCTTAATCCACTCACTACTGCACAGTCCTACAATCCAATCACCTCTTCAAGGCTCCACCTTTTGATTACCATGATGTGATTTCCCACCCTTTTAACAGTCACAGTGGGGGCTAAGGTTCTAATACATAAAACTTGGAGAATTCAAGTTTCAGTGAGTTTTGGGGGGACATAATTCAATCCACTACAAAAAGATAACCAACAGAAGAAATGAAAATGTTATAAATCAAAATTGGGAAAAGGAGAACAGGAAGACAGGGAGACGATTATGTGATTTAAGTTCCTTAGCTTTTGTAAAGGGTTATTAGTAATTATTGCTTAAAATTGACAAAACAAAAAATAGAGGTACAAGACTTCAAAACACAAATGACAAACAGTTTACCTCTGTGCTATGGTCTGAATGTTTGTGTTCTACCCACCCCACCCCCCACTTTTTAAAAAAAATTTTTATTTAATCCAAGTTGATTATATATATTTTGGGGGTTCAAAATTGACAAATGTTGATCAAATCAATATTCCTAGCATATATATAGTTACAAATCATAATTATTCTTTATGCCCCTTGTCCAATCTCTCTCCATCCCTCTCTCCCTCCCCCCCATCTAAGTACCCTAGATTTCTTCTCTCTTTCTGAAAGAATAATGGTTACTCTGTTAATTTGTTGCCTAGATGATCTGTCCAATGTTGAGAGCTATGATCAGGTCCCCCAATATTATAGTAGAGCAGATGCTTCTTCTGTCACTCTGAAATGGGTTTTGTGGAGAGAGAGATCCTCTTCTTTTCTTTATCTCTGCTGGTGACTCTCTGTGTGTCAATGCACTCCAGTGGTTGGTGGACCATCTGCATGGTGGTTGTGGTGTCTAGCCGCTTTCGCAGCAGCCATGGTTATTGTGGTGGCTGTGGTGGGCCACCCACAGGGAGGTGATGTTTTTGGCATGCTCCTTGGAGCTGGTGGTATGCCTGTTTGTGGGGAGTGTCTAGTTCCTGGATCCATGCTTTGGGACCCTGAGCAGGACCTGAGGCGCTGGTGCAGTGTGCCAGGTTGTGGGAGGGGTATCTGGTCCCCAGCTCCATATCTCAGTTCCCCGGGAGGGCCCTGAGGTGCTGGCATGGTGTGCCTGGTTCTAGGAGGGTGATTCAGTACCCTTCTCCATGCCTCGGGTCCCTGGGTGAGCCCCAAGACACTGGTAGGGTGTGCCTGGTTGTGGGAGGGGGTCTAGTCCTCAGATCCATGCCTCAGGTCCCCGGGTGGGCCCCAAGGTGCTGGCATGATGTGCCTGGTTGTGGGAGAGGGTCCAGTCCACTTTTCCATGCTTTGGGTCCCTGGACAGGCCCTGAGGTGCTGATACAGTGTGCCTGGTTTTGGGAGGGGGATCTGGTCTCCAGCTGCATGCCCTGCGACCCCAGGTGGGCCCCAAGGTGCTGGTGGTATGCCTGGATGTGAAAGTGGTGTTGGGTCCACAGCTCTATGCCTCATGTCCCCTGGTGGGCCTCAAGGTGCTGGTGGTGTGCCTGGGCTGGAACTAATTTTTTTGTCATTTGCTTACTTCTAAAATGGGGGAACTTCCTGTGGAAACCAGTATTTGAGCTCTGCAGTTGAGCTAAATTGCTGCTTTGCTGCTGTTTCCCTAGGGAAGGCTTTTGTGCAGCTCAGGGCTTAATGGTTGATCTTATAGGTACTTCCGGCTCTCCAGAGACCAGGTGCACCTCGGTTGTTTAGAAACTCTGATCTGGGCCTGAGTTTTTCCATCAAACTGCACCCCATGCATTTCTGCATTCCCAACCAGTCTCCTCTGAGTGGTCCTGAGCTGATTGCAGGGGGTGGATCAGCTGTCCTTGCTGTGTCCCAGTGTTCCCCCAGTGGGCCCATCTCCCCCACCGCCCATGCTTCAAACACTTCCCATGGGGTGGGCCCTGCACCGGTCCCTTGTGATGACTCACTGGCATCTGAATGGCTTCCCTTTTTCAGCTGTTCTGGCTCCTCGCTCCTGTGTGAGTCCATGGGAACCCTATTAGTGCTCTTGCTGTCCTGGGGGTCACCAAGGCTCTCTTCTCCCCTGCTGCCTCCAAGCAACTTCATCTGAAGGGCACAGCTGCAGCTTCTGCCGGCTCCTGTTCCATGTGCTCAGCAGCTCGAGCCTTAAAGCGGCTGCGGCCTGAAATGCTCCAAGCAGTTTTTTCTTTCTCTCATCATGGTTTCTTCCACCTTCATGCACTCCGTAGGTCTCTCCTCCTCTTCCCCTGCACTCCAGTGGCCCCAGCTTGGCTGATGTTACATTTTTATAGTTGTAAATTGGTTGATTTGTGGGAGAGAGTGACGCTGAGGACCATCTATTCTGCCATCTTGACCAGAACTCCCTCCACCATCCGCTTTTCATAACGTTGAAAAGCATTCTCTGCTCATAAACTTAATCACCAATGTGATGGTATTGGGAGGTGGGGTCTTTGGGAAGTGGTTAGGTTATGAGGGTGAAGCCCTCATAAATGGGATTAATGCCCTTATAAAATAGGCCCCAGAGAGCTGTCTTGCCCCTTCTACCATGTAAAGACCCATCAAGAAGGCACTAGGAGAAAGCCGGCTCTCACCCAAAGCCAAATCTCCCAGCACCTTGATCTTGGACTTCCCAGCCTCCAGAACTGTGGGAAATAAATTTCTGTTGTTTATAAGCCACCCAGTTTATAATATTTTGTTATAACAGCTAGAATGGACTAAAGACACCTCTGGGATTGGAACTGGTGTCAGGAGGGGGTCTGCTAGGCCTCATGGCTAGCTTAACATCAGCACAGCCAGGTTAAGCACCTTTCCCCCTTCTCCCCCTCTCCCTTCTCTTTTCTGCTCTGGGAACTGAGGTTCCTCTCCTGGGAAGGGATAAACATTACTGGTATCATCAAGGGAACGTCTTGTGGGCTATGTTTAGCAGGCTTCGGACTGGAATGATTTTGTACTGAGATAGCGGCTAATCAAAAGCCTATGCCCTAACCGACAAGATGTCATTGGACCACAAGGGCTGTGTCATCTTGCATACCACTGATTTCAAAATTGCCCATCATTCTGCCTGAACCCTCCCTAAAAGTCTTATAAACTCATGTTTTCCTTAGTTCAGGGGAACTGATCTGGTTCAGTCTCCCCTCCACATTAGTGGAATAAACCTTTTGGCTATAATGGCTCCTGACTCGGCTCTCTCTCTCACTTCTCTGTTTTGCCAAACCTGAAAGGGGCAAATTTTACTTTTCATTTCATATACTTATATGCCTTTTGAATTTTCATTACCATATACAGGCATAGTGTTTACAGTAATACATAAAATGAGGTTAAAGGAAAATAATAAGAATGTTAATTTAAAAATTCCTACCTTGCTCTAATCCAGGGTTTGGTGTGCATGTCCAAACCACTTCCCCAGCTGCCATGTTTTTCTGAAGCTGGTGGCAAAAAGCCCCTTTCTGGGGCCAGCTCCTCTGCAATGGCCCTGATGTGGTAGGGCTCAAATCCACAGCACCCACCAATGTACCTGACCCCTAGGTTGTAGGCTTCTCTGGCATACTTCTGAATATCCCATCTGGTGGTAACTCTGGGCTCCAGTCCTGTAATACAATATACAGTTACGACATTTTTGTTACTGTCCCCATTTTTAAATGATAGATGCTCTGACAGGCATTTTTTTTCCAATTAAAAAACTGTAACCATCAGATTATGCATTCTTCAGCTACCTCATTTTTTATTAACTTTGAATGTTTTTGTCTTATGCAGCCTCATATTGTAAAGCCGTACCATAGTTTATTACAGCCATTTGAATTTTGTCACAAAGAGAAATACAAAGATCTAATGCGGTCCCGAGCTTACCAAAGGGATATTCTGGGAGGTCCACAAACCCTCCTTTGCCACAGTCGGGGGTGTGGAACCCCAGGGGCTGCACCATGAGGTGTGCTTTCAGCCCCGCAGCCCCAAGGCCCTCCTGCATGAGCTTTATCGTCTGCAGGCTGGTCGTGGGCCCAAATCGGCAGTTCACCCCAACGATGGAAGCCCCTATGCAAAGAAATGAAGAACTTTTACATTTTATTATTTATTCATTTGTTCATTTATTTATTTTTTAATAGTTGGGAGGTAATTTAGAGATTAGCTATCCCCCTCCACCTCCAAAGATTTACAGATAAGGAAACTGATTCCAGTTAATTCTTTTATTTCCAAACTGCTCTGACAATATCAAGCACACCGTTCAATTTCATAAACAGCAGATGAGCTGATTATCACATTCTACATCCGAATTACCTGCCCTCACCAGCCGCACAGCACATTCTCCGGGCGTTACATCACGCATGTCTCCCTCCGGCCCTATGCACATAGTGGCTGCCACAGGTTTACCCGCTGCTTTTAGGACTTCCACAGCCCACACAGCTTCTTCAACATGCTCAAAATACTAAGAGAAATGTCACTTTTTATATTGAGCCAAATATAAGGCAGATTTTGAATGGTAGAACATAAATGTTGCAAAGCAGTTATAAAAATTACCAAATTCATAAGATGTAACAAAACTTGCTAAGGACCGTGTCTCTATCAAACTGACTAAAGAGCACCTGAGTAAATATTTTAATTTCTTTAACGATAATATATAGATTTTGATTCATGGAACATAGCTTTTCAGTGAGATGACTTAATAAAAAAAGAAAAAGAACAAATGTTTTTAAAGTAACTGAGTATTTAAAATCATAAAGTATGAAGGAAAAAAGTTTTACTAACACATTTTGGACTCATCTTTAACAGACCTGAGGTAATCTCTGAAAAATAATGAATAGTTTATCATGCTTTACACTTCAAAGTGCTTTTATCTTCACTTGTAGTTAGAAATTCATAAGTGCTCCACAAAGCAGGAAAGGAAACATGATTAATTCCCCAGATGAGAAGACAAAGGCATAGAGTGGGAGGCAGAGCTACTCGGTTTCTTTGCCGGTGGTGGATGGGACACCTTGTCTGGTAAACCCACGCCATTTGCAGGGGTGCTTCCCAGGAACCCCCTTAAAGTGCCACAGTTGAAGAGCTGACCTTAAGGTAACTGGATAAAAGCCAGCAGAAATCTCCCTGTTTCTTCCCTCTTGTCTTGGAAACAAATTCTGCAGAAGCAGTGTGTGAAGAATGGCAGAGAGAACCGAAAGACAGGCTCTTAAACCCACGAAGTAAGTTGTGTCCCCATCCATGCACAGAACACAGAGGGCAGCGTCTGTGCTAGTCTCTGTGGACGATGGTTTAGCCAGGCTTGGGCGGCACTGATGAGGCCTTGGGAAGGCTGACCAGGCAAGGTTTACAGTAGAGTTCAGTAAAGTGATTGGGGGAATAACAGTTTGGAGGCTATTTCTTGTTCAGGATAAGGACTTGGGTTGAGGGCTTGACCCCAGGCCATAGCACGTGTGGGGAAATGGAGAATGAAGGCTTTCTTTTTGGAGGTGGAGGGAAGAGAATGTTCTGGGTCTTCCTGTCCAATTCTTACTGATTGTTTCTTCAAAATGCCACTCACATGTTACAGCTTGAGTGAAAGCAGAGAGGCAGGAGTGCGCAAGGCAGGGATGGACAAGGATAAGGAAGCTACTGGGTGCTGAGTATATTGGTGGGGCCTGGATGAGCCTGAACAGCCACCTACATCCCAGGCTTTGCTCCCTCACGGTCTCCAGCTCCCTCGCCCCCTGACACACAGTGCCTTTCAGCCTGGCCCCTCTCTCAGGAGGGGATGCTCCCTGAGCAACTGTTTCCTTCCCCTCACCCCATGTTGCAGGGTCCCCCAAGTCAGCTGCTGCAACCACCCAGACCGTAGAAAACCAAAGGCTACGGTCAGGCCTCTCCTGAGTCTGTCCTTTGGCTCCCCAGAGAACCTGGCATACAAATGAGGGAATGTTGGCCTTGACTGCAGTGCATTTAAATAAACCTTTGACCATCCACATGGAGGAGATGAGGGCAGAAGGCAGTCCAACACCCTAATGGAAGTTGAAGACTCTGCAGTTATTCTGGTCAAAATAGCTTTGATCATTTTCCTCTAACACTAGGCTTACCTCTGCAATCAAGAAGTCCACATTTTTCCTGGCAAAAACCTCTAGCTGTAGTCGAAAAAGTTTTTTAATTCTAGCTTCATCCTTGTGGTGTTTGTACACTGATGTCTGACAGATCCCCCCTGCCACCAAAGCATCGCCTTTGCCAGCCACTTCTCTGGCGAGGTCACAGGCAGCAGCATTTACATCTTCCCACTGAGGTTAGAGAGCAAGAGTTCAGATGGTGAGCCTAACATTTTAAAGGGAAAATTTACTAGATAACAAGAAGGCAATGAGCAAGTGAGATGAGTACTGCGGTATGAGAAGATGAGCAGGTTTGGATACATCGCTTCTGTTACCAGTGACCTTCTATTTCCATTATTGTACTCACCACATTGGATTTTAATAACTGCTTACTTGCTTGTCTCCCACACTTGACCGGGAGCCTCTTCAGAATGGTGTCTATGCCTTTGTATCATCTTTGTATCTAGCGTGGAGAATGGACTAGAACAGGTACTTAATAAGTGATGGTTGGTGGAATGAGTAAATGGGCATTAACATTTACAAGTATTAACACTTTACATTTGCAGAATAGTTCACAATACTTCCACCTCCTTCATCTTCTCCACTCTTCTCAACAGGTCTGTGAACTTAAGCATGACTGTTATCTCCATTTTGCAGAGAGAAAACCAATGCTCAATGCAGTTAAGTGTCTTGCACAAAGTCACACAGCCAAATAGGTGGCAAAGTTGAATACCAAACCTAGTTTTTCTCATTTCTAGGCCAGTGCTGTGTTCTTTAGGACCTCTTGGTCTCCAGATGGACAAGGCAGAAAGGAAAATTGTGAAATGAGAAGGTGAAAAACACAAAGTGTTTTTCCAAATAATAGCACAGAAGGATGGCCATACCCTTCCAATGGCCTATTGTCTCCCAGTCCTATCCCTTCCTCTACCTAAAGGAGCAGAAAAAGCTAATTTATTTTGTGTGTATGTTCATTTAATAATAATAGATTTTGTGTGGATTTTGTAATCAAGCATAGGAACACATCAAGTCAATTCCATAGCTTCCCATGAAGAGGTTACGCTCCATCCGCCCCCCATCTCCACCCCTCAGTTATAGTTTACCTTGCTTTCCATATTGTCCTCACTGGCAGAAAAGGTGAAAGTCTGCATGACATTTGATCCCGCTCTCAAGAATTCCATGTGAAGCTGACGAACTATAAAGTAGGTGGGTTTTTTTATTGAAACAAAAAAAAGGTAAAAATTATAGAAGCTATGATTTTCAGCTGCAGCAGGTCACTCACTCCCATCTCTTTCAATCAGACCCAATTTCAGACCTAGCACTGATAAAAAGTTGCAGATTAAGGTTAGTAGAATTCAAGGACAGGACATACTGTTGAGAATGGCCTCTTATTGTCCTGCTGAAGGGCCTGAGTGGCCTGGTGCAGTCCTATGCAGAGACTAAAGCCTGGGTGGCCAATTGCTCCTTGGTCTCTTCATCCAGAGAGGTTTATTCCTATACCAGTGTTGGGGGGATGTAGCTCATCTGCTGCAGCCAGCACTGAATGCAGCCCCCACAGTGAATGAGGAAACTCTCACAGGGAGCAGAATGCGTGCAGGTGGCACCCACATCAAACCAATGCAGCAGCAAGCAGCTGGGGAACATGGGAAAGCAGTCTACAGCTTCCTCTGCCTGTCGAGCTTCCTCTGCTGGTCGGAAAGTTGTTCCTTCTGTCTTTACCACCTCCATCCCCATAACCTTAGCCTTCTATTTCAACACTTTCTTCCGGGCTTAGCAAAAAGATCTTCTAAAACTAAGAACAAGTTCTTCTTAGGCTAGATAAAAACTTCTTGCTAAGTACCAGAGAAACAAAACTTTGTCCTGTCCTACCACAGATCTCTGGGAGTCTGATGAAATAATGATAATGGCCATCAGGTATTTATGATACGCTGGGAATTTCTTTTCTCTTCTTTTTTGAAGGGTGTGATGGTTTATGTTTTAAAATCGTACCACACTGATCATGATGACTAGCATACACATTATATGGCTTTTCTCTTGGGTATTAACATTGCAGTATTTTTGTGTACTGAAATGTTTCAATAGGACCAAGAACATTAGAGAATAAAAATCTTAGATATAATGAACACAAATAATTCTGGTTTTCTACCCACAGAATTAATTTAAACCCCTTGTGAATCAGAGGCATTATAATTTTATGTAGTTTTGTTTGTTTGTTTGTTTGGCAGCTGGCTGGTATGGGGATCCAAACCCATGACCTTGGTGTTATAAGGCTGCACTCTAACCAACTGTAATGTCAAGTAGTTATGAAAAATAAAAGTTTTCTTAAAAGTAGACAGCATGAATTTATGCTTCCTTGTACTTTAATCTTTAGTTTTTATAATTTAAGCTATATCCATGCTGGCTAAAGCACAATCATACATGACACCTCAGATAACTTCCATGCTACCACTGCACAAGTTTAGTGATTTTACTTAAAAAAAAAAAAAAAATCAAACCACCATGAAAATAAAGTGGCAGATAAAAGTGAAATAATAATTTGAAAAGCATAGTGCTTATTTTTCCTCTTTAGACTCAAATCTAAATTAAACGCTATAATTATAATCTCCAAACTTCTGAAATGAAATTAACATTTATATATATGGGTTTTGTCTATGGAACTGTAATTTGCAATCAACAAGAGAAAGTTACTATTGAGAGAATAATATATTTGGTTACGGTTCCACATATCTGTAGTAGAGACAAAGGCATATGATATTAAATCTGGCTCTGAGTAATGCAAGGGACAAATTTTTGACCAAAGATCAAAATTACAATAATCTGATCTTAAAATTTCAACTTATATGAGATTACTCTTTTAAGAGTAAATGTGCTGTTAAGTAATTGTTTCAATAACCTTTGCTTTTTAAGACTACCTGCAAACTGACCCTTTTCTTTAATCATTGTCACTTACCAATATTTTAAACTGACCTCTTTACTTCCATGTTGCTATTTCAGTATGCATTCGGATTTGAGGCAGCATAAGTTTGACTTCATAAAAACAATAGATAATTTAATCTTGGCATTTCATATGGGTTAACTCATCAGTCCTCACAACCAGCCCATGTCGTGCCCCCATATAATATATGAAGAATGGATCCTTGGAGAGGTCAAGTGACTTGTCCAAGGTCACACAGGTTTGTCTGATTCACTGTGCACATATGATTAAAATCAGAGCTAATCAAAAGTTCCATTCTCAGTTTGCATTCTATTTCACCCATTGCATTCTTTGGCTTTATTTTCCCACTTTAATTTAGGAAAGCAAACACCAAAAAAAGTCAGAATAGAACTAAAGTTCCAATTTGATGTTGCTAACGAATCCCCATCACAGTTTCTACCCCCAACTTCTTTTTTTCCCAGCCAGGAGGATAATGTAAAACTGTTTATTTCTTTGCTCCCCTTTTCCCAGAACCCGGTTGTCTGTACTCTGTGAAGCTGGTGACTACTGTTAATCATTCTTCCTATACACACTGTTATAACATAGTATGCATATTAGTCAGCAGGATGAATCTGAAACAATAACAGTTTTAATATTTTAAGGAAACTTAAATATCTACAAGGTAAATATTCATGGAACCAATATTAACATGTATATTTTAGCACTGCCTATACCTGAAGATGCAAGTGTGTGTGTGTGTGTGTGTGTGTGTGTGAGAGAGAGAGAGAGAGAGAGAGAGAGAGAGATTTTCTTCCATATGCTTCAGCCCATGTACTACCATAGTTTCCACATCTTGGCAATTTTGGCAAATGAAACAGTTCGTAGAAACACTTGCAATTACTTCTCAATCTTCTCTCAATCAGATTTGAGCAAAATGTTACTCGGATAAACACTCTGGGGTGAGATGGGCGCTGACCTGCACTTGGATGTTCTACCACTGCTTCCGGAGTCCAGAGTCCAGCCTTCACATAGCCTCTCTTCTCCAGAGTTATGAGAAAGCTGCCATCTCCAATCACAACTTCCCCACTGTCCAGACGTTCCAAAATACCCTGAAGAAGAGAAAGAAAAATCACCTAAGCACTCCCCCACACATACATTTATTTTTCCCTGAAAGCAATTTTTAATTTGAGGAAAAGTGGTATGTTCTTGGAGCTCTACTTGTTACAATTGTGTCTAATACTGTTTCAGAAAGATTGAGCATACTATATTTTTTGGCTAATCCAGGTACCTATTTTGTGCAATCAAAGGGCCGTGACTATTTTTTCTCAACATTTAATGAGTCAAGTTATAGTGAAAGTGCTGATTCAATGACAGTTATTTGGTTTTTCAACATGTTTGTGGCAATACTGTTTGTAGCCTAATTAATGTGCATTCTCTATTCTTCTTTGCTAATGCATTTTGTGTGGGGAGACAATGTCCCATCCCCAAAAGTAATTCTCAGGCTCCCTTGCTGCCCTGAGTGGCTCTGTAACACAGTGCTGGCCGATGAGACATAGGTGAAAGTTGGCTGAGGATTTCTGGAAGAGTTTTGCTTTTCTGATATGAAGATGCCCGCTCCCTTCCATCTTGTCTCTTTTTGTCCTTCCTAACTGGAATGTCAATACAATGCCTGGAGGGACAGCAGTCACCTTGCAGGCATGCCATTGAAAGCAGCATGCTAAGGCTGGTGAAGCCAGCTGATAACTGGCTTTTTTAATGTCATCCTTTAGTCAGTGCGCCAGCCTCAGACTGCTCACCGTGTGATCTCTTGTTAAAGAAAAGTAAACCTCTTCTTTGTGTAAGCCACTGAACACGATCCTAGAGGAGACAACACTTCATATTCATGCCCTGCATTTGGCCAGCGTGTTCACGTACATGTTTTCATTTGGTACTCCCAAAACGCTGTGACTGAGGCAAGGCAGACAGTTTTTATTCCCATGTGTAAATGAGGAAACTGAGGCTGAGAAATGTTGCAACTTGCCCAAGATCACAGAGCTAAGTAAAAAAGCAGACATCAGATTTTCTAAATTCTTAATTTAGTCTCTATTTTACCCCCTTTCTATTTAGCCCATCCATAACTTACTTAAGACATTGTATCCAGAGCAGTTAGCCACGGGTTGCAATTTCCTGTGTCTAAAGCACCCCTCCCCTAGATGCCTGCATGGTTCATCCCCTCACTTCCTTCAGGTCTTTGGTCAAGTGTCATCTTTTCAGAGATGCCTTCCCTGACCACTCCAAACACCCCCATTGCAATCCTGATCCCTCTTATATAGACTGCATTAGTTGAAGATACACTTTTTATTGGAAATAGGCTAGTTCATTTCAGACTTGCCCACTGCTGGACACAAAGCAATGCATGGATGGGGGAGAAAAGCCCCCCGGTGCCTTTTCTAACCAGTCATATCTGTTCTGTGAAATCAACATAAAACCGTTTTGGTCCTAAATCCAAGGAAGACATCAAGCAGGGTACAGATGCAGCTTATTGGGATACATGTTGGGATTAGGGTAAAACTAAGCAGCTGGAACAGAGGCCTCCCCAAACTGTGGCTTTAAATAAAGGTATTTTATTTTTTCTCTCACATAACACTCTCAAAGAGCACAGTCCTTTCGTCTTAGCGCTTTGCTATTCCCTATGGCGGGGGTTGGCATGTGACAGCCCACAGGCCAAATCTGGCAGGCCACCTGCTTTTGCAAGTATGGTTTTATTGGAACCCTGCCCACTGAACTCCATATTGTCTATGGCTGCTTTCATACCACAACAGCAGAGCCGGGCAGCTGCAGCCCAGACCGCAGGGCCCACAAGCTCAGAATATTTACTACCTGGCTCTTTACAGAAATCATTTGCCACCCCCTGTCCTGGGGTACTGTCCTCTTAAGCATGGCTGAAACTGGGTCAGAGTCACATTCATAATCTGTCTCAAATGATGAAAAAACAAAGTGTGATAAAGCTCATCATAAAATTTTTAGCCCAGACCTAGAAGTGACACATTTCACTTCCACTCACACTCCCTAAGTGCGACTCTAGCTGCATGGCTGTACTTCACTGCAGAGGGAAGCCAGAAAATGTCCTCAGGGGATGCCCATGTGTCCAGCCACAACTCTATTACTATGGAAGGAGGGGAGAACAGGCTGGAGAGAAACTGGCTGTGTTCTAGTGTCTGCCACCTGTTATTTCTGCTCAGCTCAGTCCATACCCAAAGTGAATGGCCCAAGGTGGTCAGGAGCAAGTTTCCTAGGACACTGAAGAACAAAATGATCCTTGTCACATTTTGGCCATATTATTTGGCATATTATTTTCTTCAATCTTTTCCCAGGAGGCTGGAAGGCCATAAAGGCAATAAAGAGTACGAGTGAAGTGAATTTGATCTTGGTTGCAAGAGACTTTGTCCTTACCTTAGTCATTCCTAGATCCAATAAAAATAGCCAGGAATTAAAGCAGATGTGTGAGGATCTTCCCACAGAAACCATTTTGTTGTACTTTTCAGGACAGCCCTGTTAACAGTACTGAACCAAACATTGGAGGCAAAATGTGGCTTGAATAATTTCTCAATCTCCATCCAACGATATGACTAGGGAGGGGGTTTACTCTGGCTTTATCCCCTATATCCAGTTCAGCTGCAGAAAATACAAACCACACCAGTTATTTTAAGCTGAAAGGAGTTTAATATAGAGAAATGGGTGCATAAAAATCCACACTAGGCCCCCAGGAATGACTCAGAAAAACACCACTGAACTGGCCTGCTGGGGGCTGCACTCTCTACCACAACTAAGAGAAGCTACTATCGAGCTGTTGGCTTCAGGAATATATTATGCAGGTGTCACACAGGGATAAGGGGCTGCTGCAATTGCCAGGGATGCTTTCAGCTGGACACTGAAACGCTGACTGTGGTTGTGCTTGCTGTGCTTCTGCCTTCCCAGACCCATGTGTGTGCATCTGACTGGGGATCCTGATTCTTGTGTGAATCTTAGCTGAAAAGGAGTCTGGAAATGAGCTTTCTTTCCTCTGCAGTACAAGAAGGTATATTAGAAGGGTTTGCACTGGAGGCTAAATACCAGCTTACCATATCTACAACATTTTACTGTGCATGTGGAGGATGGTCAAATGGAGCCCAGCTATGCAAACTGTGTTAACCAAAATCAGTTGTGGCAGAGAAAGCTCCTGACTTTGGTTATTTTTCCATATTTTATATCTAAAGCTGAATTTTAGCTGAATGTGGAAGAATTGTTAATATTTACTATGATTCTCACCTTTCCCTACTCCCTCCATAAAGTGTAATTCACTCTTATTCATTCTTTTCATTTCGTACTGTTGAAACATAAAAAAGGACTTAAACTTTTATTGAGAATTTCCCACATGTCAGGTATTACGTTCTAGGCAAGTGGGATAAACACTGGAATAAGACAGGGTCTCTGCCCTCAACAATCTCAAAGTTTGGGAAAGGCCAATAGATCAATAAATAATTACAGCAAAATTGATAGATAAATGCTGCAGAGGAATATAGAAGAGAGAATTAGAGGTATAGTCATTCTATACAAGATCTCTTTTTGAAAATCTAATACATTTCTGTATATGTGTTAAGAATCCAAATTAAGGCTGGCCGGTTGCTCAGTTGGTGAGAACACAGCCTTTAAACACCAAGGTCACAGGTTCGGATCCCCCTCCTGGCTAGCTGCCAGAAAAAAGAAAAAAAAAAAATCCAAATTAATATTGCACATCAAACAATTCTAGAGGGGAAAAACATTGGCACAGAATTTGGTTGTTATAAATTAGTCTCTCACCTCCCACATCCAATCTTTCTCAGGGTTATGAAAAGAGTATCTATTAAATATTGCTCATATGTCCCCCCTTTCTCTCTGCCATTGGATTATTAAAGTGGTCTGCAACTCACTCCAGCCCTACTCTAAACTATCTTCCATTGCTGCTAGAGCAAAGCCTGGCCTGACCCACTCTCAGCTGTGATTGCCCCTCCTTTGTGTCCTGCTAACTTCATACATCCTCCATTCACGCATCCACCTGTACTGCGCTATCTGTTTACTTTTTTTTCTCCTCAGCTTGACTGTAAGATGCCTGCGGGCTACTGACATATCTTATTTGTCTGTATCCCTACCACCTCATATAGCACCTAACAAATAAACTATGCCAAGAGTTAGCAGAGAGACAGGACTGTTTTGAAAATGTCACATGTGACATGTGTCACATCTGCTAGAATTTTGGTCCTGTGAAGAAAAAAATGCCACTCTTTAACAGAAAACTAGCTAGGGTTTTAAGAACATTGTAGTACCTATTTTGACTGTGTCTTCATGATACCAAGTAAAGGTAAGACATTTTCATCTGTTATCTGAATATTTGTTCAACATTTTAAATTTGCCATTTTTCTACACAGCAATTAGCAAAATAACTAAAACATCAGATTTGAATTCAGAGCGTTTTTTTAGCTCTGCCTTCTGCTACATTAGCCATCTCAATTAATTACTACAGTAGTATGATATGAAGACAACTCTAGAATGACAAATACAGGAATGCATAAAATAAGGAACACTGTAAGTTAATTTGCAGTACATTTATGTTTTCATTCCATACTCCCCTTCAGTTTGACAGTGGATCTGCTCTGGGTCTGATAGTAACCTGGCTGGCCTGAAACTAGGCCTGGGCAAGGCCACCTCCGGAGCCGGCTCAGCAGGTGGAGGGTGGGTGGGGTTTGCACGGACCCCTCCTCCTCCTCCCACCCGGTAGCCCCCCGCTCCCAGCCTCTTTCCCAGATGTCGGCATTTTAAAAACCTGTTTAAAAAATGAACTGTAACAATGAACATAGCATTAGTAAAAGCTGAGGGAAAGAAGTCAGCACAATGTTCTTTGCTTATCTCTTCATTAACCTTACTTCCTTCGATTCCCACATTTTACTTTTATATATTAAAAAAAGTATCCCAAAACATGTTTTTTAAACCTATATTCCACATCTTATGTAACTATTTTCATTAGTGTGTCCTTTTGATACAGTTCGGATCAGTCTGTGATGTATATTTCCCTTTGTAAGAACATTGCCAAAGCACTTTGCCTGTTCCCATACTTGGTTTTTTAATTGGCTGCCTAATAACTTATTAAAAGGATGGACCTTAATTCTATACACCCGTTGCAGGGTATCTCAATTGTTCCTAACTCTTTAGTATAAATAAACCGGTGGTGCACATTTCCAATCCTATATCGCTCGTTCCCTCTCCCCCACCTGCCCCCACTTCTGAATTACGGGGCTCAGATGGGTTGCTTTGAAGGGTCCTGGGGATGTCCTTCGCCCAAGTTCATGTCCTTCCTAATTTTGTTCAGTTTCTCCTGCCGCCAACCCCTATCACATACCCAGAGTAGAAGTGGGGGGATAAAATGGACATCTGGCGACCAGACTAGGAAAGGGGCTGGGGGAGCCGGGGACTACCGGAGGGAGGAGGCGGAGAAGTCCCCGCGAACGCCGCCACCTACCTACCGCCTCCTGTCGCGGCCCTGCGGGTGTCCTTGCCCAGGACTGGTTTCAGGCCCGCCGGCGACTCACATGGCCAGGCTACCGCCTTTTCCAAAACGCGAGGGAAATCCGACGAGGGAGGCAAAAATGAGCGCGACCTCCGAGTCCGAAAGCCATATGTCAAACCCCGCTCCACCCCGCACTAGATCGGTGACTCAGATCGAGTCGCCCGACTCCGAGCCTCAGTTTCCTCTTCTGTAGAATGGGAAGATGCGGAGATACTTTGTGCACAGCACTCTGCGGTGCCAGGCACCGAGTAAGGGCTCCATAAAGTTAATCAATACGTGATCGGGTGAACCCAGGCTCAGAGCAGTCCAGCCCAGGTGCTCTGCCAAGGCCGCAGGGCTTGGCTAGGGGCCGAGGCGACATCTGAACCCGAGTCGCCGGGAGCCCAGCGACCAGGGGCTCCGCGAGGAAGGAAGGGAGAAAACTCACTCTCTTGGCCCCCGGGCCTCCAGCTGGTGCCATCGTGCCGCCGCTCTGCCCGCTCCGGTCCCCGGGCGCGACGCCGTCCAGGAGCCCGCCCCTGGCCCGGGGGAGGGTCCGACTGCCGCCCGCCGGCCTCCTCGTGCCCCCGCCCCTGGCTGCCCGCTGGCCTAGCGGCAGGTGCCGGCGCCCTCGACCTCAGCCTGGGCCTCGTCATGTTCCGCCTGGGCGCGAGGCTGCTGCGGGGCGTCCCGCTGCGGAGCTGCTCCCCGGGGACCTCCCCCGGGCGCCCGCGCTCGGT